ATGAACCATGCCGCCCCGTCCTCGACCTTGTTGTACCACACCTCCGAGTTCTTGGCGCTCTCTTTCCATTTCCCCCCTTCCTTTTCGTCTCCCATGTTGAAGGCCACGAGGTCCTCTCCTAGACGAGACACCCAGTCGCTCTCCTGCCCGCCCCGGTATCCCACGCCCCCCGCCATCGACGCTCCTAACAGCATGGTGGCATCCTTCAACTGCTGTGGTACGTCCCCAGTCTGCCACACGTCCACGACAATGGCGTGGAATTCGCGGAGGAGACCTTGATCTCCGTCCAGGAAAAGCTTGATTAGCTCAGCCGGTAGGTCGTCCGGCCCGACGGCCTTTCTGTTGGCCACTTCCCGTACCGCTTCCTCAACCTCAAGTAGAGATGGGATGTCGTCGAGTGGCACGCACGTGGGCCACCGCTTGACCTTGTCAGCCGCATGCAGGTCGATGGTCGGCGACTTGGTGTTGAGAAGCTTGTGGAACCACCGTGCCCACCGTTGGCGAATAAACGTGGGGTCCCGAAGGACCTTGCCGTCCTCGTCCTTGATGTTCTGAGAGGTGAACGACCTCTTACCTTCGACGTCGATCATCTTCAGGTGCCTATAGAAACCCGCCTGATTCCCCTCGCGGCTCTTCTTCTCGAGCTGCCGTACACAGCCCTCGAAGAAAACCGTTTCCAGTGCTCTCCACCTCGCGATGCTGCGCTTCTTCCGCGCCGCCTTGAGCATCGCCTTCAGGGTCGCCTCGCAGGCGCTGTTCTTTGAGGCCCCACGCAGTTGCTGCTGGGCCGCCTTAATCTCCTTCGATGCTTCGGATATCTCGTGCTGCGCTTCGCTCGTGTACCAGCCTCTCCGCCCTCGTGCGCACGTCGCCAGCGGCGCGATCTCAGCAGCGGCCGACATTACCGTAGCCGTCAGCTCGGCGGCGGTCTCNACGGCGACACGTAGGTGTTTGTCCTTCCTCAACCGTTCGAGGTCGATACGGATCCGGCTGCTTCCGCTGTTCCCCCGCACTCGTCGGTTGGGTGCGACA